CAACCAAGTTATTCAATTTTTCCTACGGGACAGACCTGAATGCGACGTTAAAACGTCTATGCAGATGCAAAAATGCCAAATTAATCACAGGAATATTTTTTCAAGAATCTTTCAAGTCTCATCCACTCGTCTTAATTAAATAACGATCACTCAAATCGATAAATAACCAAGAATCCTCCCCAGTGGAGTCGCCAAATTGTAGGCGTCGTTCGAAGTGCGCCTACGTTAAAGCATGTGTGAATATGATTGGCACTCATAGGAAGTGGGAATTGACATTACGATAAGGGACAAAGCAAAGTAGGGAACCGCCAACAAGTTTTTAAGGAACTTGTAAACCGTTCACGGATCATTTAAGGGAACCACGAATAAAGGGACAACGAAGGCAACAACGATTGACCCGTGAAGGTTACACCCCATTCATAATCCATGAGATTACTAACTCAATATGGTTCGGAACCACGAAAGGAGGATCGGGGATGATGGTACGAAGAAAGTCATGGAGTCACATTCGCCCGTATTGGCCTCTACTCGATTCTTATATTGAAAAGCATTCCTGTGATCTCAAAGGCATACAAACAAAATATTCAATTTGCTCCAAACTATTATTAAGCTAAATTGGTTGAATATTAATGCAACACATTATTCTAAAATATTTGTGATCACTTGAATTAAGCAACAAGATTAAAAAGGAACCTAAACCATTTGTCCAAATTATCTTATTAGTCGTGATTTTCAATTACATATTCCCTTTAAACATGCAATATGGTGATCAATAAAAATATAATAGAATAAACATTAATATTGGAAGCAATTTAACAATAATTCTAACAATATAAAATCGTTAGAAAAATAATAGAAATAAAAGGAACATAATTTTTACTTTGATTCTGTTTGTTTGCAACTACAAAATAATAAACGAGTTAGTAACTTCAAGGAAATAATAATAAAACAACAATTAAATTAAATTAAACAAAGTAGAGTTGATTTGGGGCCAAACCCTCAAACAGTTCTACCTTTCACGCCTTGGCTTAAGGACAGAACCACGAGTAAAGTATGAACTCCTTTGAGCACTTGAAGAAGGAATTTTGAAATGAGAAGGGTAGGCTAGTGTTTAGGCTAAAGCATAGAAGAGAGAAAAAATAAAACTAGAGAATTAATTGATGCCCCGTTCATCAGAAATGAGGGGGTATTTATAGAGAAAATGTGCTGAGGGAGCACACGGAACCCTAAAATGATAAAAACCCTAAAAAAGTATCCCGCGACACGGCAAACTGTACCATGATACGGGAAGTCCCACCGTCAGAAGGGAAACATTCCCGTGACACGGTGCATTTTTGGTGTGACGCGGGAAATTTTCAGAAAACGGGGAAGAAAACGCGTTAAGGGTTTACGCGGAAAAGACACAGAATTTCCTGTGTCACGTCAAATTTTCCGTGTCACGGGAAATCCCACCGTCAGACGGGACTGATTCCCGTGACACGGTGGGTACTTGCCGTGGCGCGGGAATTCCCAACCCACTTTTCCGTCTAAATACATTTTTAACCCTAATTTCATTCGGCATTTTAAGTGCCGATTGATAATTTCGGGCCTTTTCAGACTTATTATCATTTGGGCTAAAATAAGAAAATAATCAAATAAAAATAAATAAAAGGTTTGGGCCAAAAATAAATAATAAAACAATAAAATAAAAAAGGTTTGGGCTAAAATTAAATAATAAGTTTGGGCTGAAATTAAAACTATGTTTTTACCAAACATCAAGACTAATCCATGGACTGTTTCAAAAATATCAATTTAATCAAATACGATTTTTTAAGCACTCTCGGGATTAAATACTGAACCCGACCAATAATGGCGGTGAAAGGTTGTTCATCATCTGGTTTGGTTTTGGGGAGACATTTTTAGGTGTCTACACCAGACAAGAGCAATTTGATTTTTTACCATGGGTCTGGGCTTCAGTGTTGTTCAGGTTCATTTTTTATGAAAATTTTACCCTACACCCTAGTGTAGGGTAAAATACCTACACCCCCCTCAAAACTACATCGTTTTGTAGCTAGTGTGGGTAGCACTTACGAACAACTTTGATTCCTTTTTTTTTTTTTTTTTTTAAAAAAAATCCATATTTAATTCCTTCCTTTCTTATCATTCAAGCTATGTATATATATGATTTCAAACCATATATTTTCTCTCTCCTCAATTGATTGTAGTACCTTCATTCTCTCTGCTCAATTCATCTTCTTCATTTGATTTTTATACTAATTTTTCAGTTTATTTTTTACAATTTTGATAATCGTTGTTGATCATCAATGTCTAATTCTTCCTCTGCCCGATTTCGACGTGATTGCGAAAGTGTGTTTCCATCTGGAGTTCGATTCATTGATTCGTTTGTTCAACAATGTATGATCATAATTTTGTACTTTTTGATTATCAATACTGTGTTATGTGGATGTTTTGTTTATTTCTACATAATTTTGTACTCGATTTTGTTGCTTCAATTTATGTGTTATATGTTTTCATTGCTTCAATTTTGATATTTTGATTATGATGATGATGAACATTTTTGGATTGTTAATACTCTGTTGTGATGACGATGAACATTTTATGTTCATTTTCGATGTCATATTGATCATTTGTTTTTACAATTTTTTTCATGATAATATTATGTGTTCAAAAATTTCAAATTGAACATGTGCAGTTTCGTTATTGAACATTTTATGTATTAACTATTGATCATTTTTGAAACCCTTTATGTTCACTTATAATTGTATATTAATAATGTGTGCAATAGAAAAAAAAAGGGTGATATTGTTGATGAAGAATCAGTTAAGTCTGAATTAACAATTTAAATCCGAAGAAGAACCTTTTGAAATGTATAACGAATATGCTTTTAGGAACGGTTTGGAATTCGAATTGGGAAGAGTAAGAGGAGAAAAGACAATTCATTTTTTATTAAAAGATTTGTTTGTTGTAGTAAGAGTTATAAAGATGATAGGTGTAGGAATAATAGTGTTATGATAAGTGTAGGCTTATAGTGAAGCACTCTTCAGTCCAGCATATCTGGTGATTTAAATATTTCATCTCTTGGGTTTTGTTTTCTAATCTATTTATATAAGTATTTGTAATTGAACATTTATTGATTTAATATTGATCATCAATTAACTTTTTTTTGCAGGCGAAGGATTTAAATGTTGTTGAAGGTGTTTTTGTTGTTCAAGCTTGTTCTAACGTTTTTACAAATAAAGGTGTTGTTGGTGTTAAAACTAATTCTCAACTTTCCAAGAGTTCCAATTCATACTAATGCGTCTACAAAATCTCAAACTGGTTATTTTGTTCCAACCATAGTTCTTGGCATTGTTCAAACTTCAACTCGGGATTGTTCAAACTTCAATCGAGAAATGCTGAAACCCCATTCCAGAAATGTTCAATCAACAAATGTTTAAGTTATTCCTCCCACGGTTCCAATAAATGATCAAGGTGCTCTTGTTCAAAGTTCTTCAAGTGTTAAAGACATAAGAATTTGTTTCTATATAGTACCTTTTTTAGTATATTGTTTTTTTAAATTCAACATATATAAATGATTATTTATCAATTTGAAAATGAACAAAAGTAAAGAACCAACAACCAATTTATAAAACCTAAAAAATATTTTTTTTTTTCATACAAATAAAGATTAAAATGAAATATCAATTACAATAATTCTTTTAACAAATAAAATCTATAACTCTATTTTCCTTCAAAAAAAAAAACATCTATAAAACTATTTATAAGATATAATCATATACACATTCATAAATGAACATATACACACATTCATAAATGAACATATAACATGTACTATTCCTTTGCAAACTTTCTTGCTTATCTTCTATTTAACCTAGATTTACGCTTTGTTTGGATAGCAAAGAAGGAAGGAAAAGAAGGGGAGGGAAAATGGAGGAAGGGAAGGGAAAAGAAAGGGAGGGGGAGGTGAGCTCCATTTTCCCTCCAAATCTCTCCAAATTTGGAGAGATTATGGTTATTATAGAGAGAGGGAAAATGGATCCCTGACCTCTCTTTTCTTCCCCTTCCTTCCCCCAATCTTTTACCCAAACAAGAGATTTTATCCCCTTCATTTCTCTTCTCTTCTTTTCCTTCCATTTCTTCTTATTAAAACAAAGTGTTAGTGTTTTTCTTCAAATAGCATCAGTTCCGCATCCTTGCTTCCTAATTTGGTCCACCTGTTGAACAAAATGAATTAATAAATGTTAATTATTATTATATATACTGCTTTATAAATGAACAATATATCTTACATTATTGAACATTTATCACTTTTACAGTGTTTGGTTTCAAATCACAAATCTAACTCTCATTAAGTTTAGTAGCGAAGGTTTCTATATGCTTCATAATGTATACTCCGCAGTTTGTATAATCACCGTTGTTAAGCCATTTTATCTTCTCCAAAACAACTACATATTCTTTAATTCCATGTGCAAATTTATATCAAATGTGTAACTTTGGACATCACTACAATATAGCTAGATTGGTTGTAAGATATTAGTTTTAGTGCATACAAATGAATATTATCAATATTATACATGTGCATAATGTAAAAAGAAATGAACATTCGTTTAGGCATATAAATATATATGTAAACTGAAATGAACCAATATTAACATATATTTTAAAATGAACATTACTTTATATGTAAATGAACATTATGAATTTCATAAATGATCAAAAGGTTTCATAGAATGAATAAGTCAGTTTCTCAACTTAAATGAATGAATATTTATGCATTTCATAAATGTGCATAACGTATCATAAAAATGAACATTTTTTTATTTAGGCATATAAACTCAAATAAATTCAAATATACAAATGAACATTTATAATTCAGTATATGTTCATATATTACCTCGGAATCGTAGAAATGTTAACATCTATACCATAAGACTTTTTAATATCTTTTAAAAGTTCTAGATCTACAACTTGAGACTTTTGTTCGTTGTTTTTTTTTTTTTTAATTTTTCTACTCTTGTTTAAATAGGTTATTTAAATAATACTTACGTTTCTTCAGAATCTGCCTTGTTGTGTTCAACGAACAAGATTCTTCTCTGAATCATCATTCTCTTTATCTCTCTACTTTGAAACATATTTTTCGGTTCTACAAAAAAAACACAAAACACAATAGATTTTAATGATTTTTGCATAAAATAGTTCTAATCAAGTTAGATTATGTTTCCGAACATGTAATTTCAAAATAAAATAGAAAAACTAGGGTTCGTACAAAAAATTGTAGTAAAATTACTTACTCTTTCTGTGAATGTTGTTGCGATTGTTGAATTTCTTCGCAAATGTATACATTTGAAGCAATTTAGCAGTATTTTAAAGCAATTTCGTAGTATTTTGAAGCAATTTTGGTTCAGATTTTTTGGTTTTGATGAGAGAGAAAGTCTAGAGAAATAAAAAAGAAGGTTTTAGAGAGAAAATGATTTGGTGGGTAGTTACTGCAGTTAATAGGTTATGGGATATGTGGGTAACATGATAAACACGTCGTTTGAAGGGGGGGTGTAGGTACCCCTACCTACACTAGGGTCTAGTGTATACCAATTACATTTTTTTACTAGGGATAGGACTAGAATCATTTGGTTTGCTTCAGCGTGGTTTAAGTTCAAAATCAGATCTAGATCGGACTCTACACATTGTTTGTGGTTCTTGTCAAATAAAAGAGTGTTGTAATTATAAACAAAAATAAATGAAAAAGGAAACTAAATTTTTTAATTAATCAAAAACTAAGAAACAAAAATGGATGAAAAATAAAAAAATTGTTGTAAATTTGTAATTAATCAAAAGTTAAGGGAGTATAACTATAAAGTGCTTCCTCCGTTCTATAAATAATTTAATATTGCAATAATGAACTTTTTGCATTATTCATCACTCTTGTTTGACCATATAATATGATTAGTACGTTAAGAAAAATATAGTCATGTGGAATCTTGTTTGATTCGTCTCATAAAATACCTTCACAATATCAATTTTTTATAATTTTTACACTTACACAATTATATATATTTAACATATAAAATGTGCTTTGGGATACATAATTTCATCTTGTTGCAATATGAATAGAACGGAGGAAATATTTACCTACAAATGGAATTGTTACAGTACACGTCGAACAATTTATATATATACAAAAGCATTGCATCAAAAAAATAATAATAAAAAAACCCCAATTAATCTTAAAGATTAACATTTCAATTTATCTCTACTCATATACATTAATTTTTGTGTTACTATATTTTCATTTTATCATTTAAAAAATAAAATAAAATAAAATAATTAGATTGTGAGAGGAGATAAAAATTACACTCAGATGGGTCAGTCTTTTAAGGTTTGGTAGTAGCCCCTGTTATGCCATTGACTTTTTGGGTCATTGGCTTCAGAAAGCAACACAAGACTTACGTAGCTTGCGGATGGAGTCTTGCAGAGAGTCATGCAGCAGCATAAAAAATAGTACTCGTTCACCTAAAATATACACGAAATAATATCAAATATATTTGTCCTTAGTTTATGTACATTACTAGAAATTTCGCAAACTCTGAAATCAAGTCGCCTCACACGTGGGCTGTCCGATCTAGCGCCCAACCCTCTCTATTCTTGCAGGCATCACCATTCACCATTACCTTTCCACTGTTCACATTGTACGAGTCGTCAACGTAGGTTAAGGGTTCAATTCCAATAATAACAATTTGAAGGTGGGGATCCTGGCCTTATTCTCGTCCCTCTCATTTTAAAATGTTGTTTGATCGGTAAATACTTAATCACAAAATTCGAGGATTGAAGTTTGATTAGAGTATGCTTAATTTAAACAACTAAAGAAGTACTCCGTGTGGGTATAGTGATTTATTTCTCCTTTTTTATTTATTTACTTTTCATTCCTTTTTCAACGTCCGTACCAAATACTCTCTTCATTATTAAATACTTACTCCATTTTTATTTTTTGCATTATTCATTTATTTAACTTTGACTATTGTTTGTAATTTATACATAAGAAAAATTATACTCTTATAGGTAATTGTTGGAATCATCTCAATAAATAGTTTATTAATTTTCAATTGTTAGAATGTATACTTATTGATAATAGCCCAAAAGAAATAAAGCAATTATTTAAAAATGGAAGAAGGGTCCCATAATTAGTCGTCTAGTCAAAGTTAACAAATGAATTAGTAGGGGTAGAAATGGGTTGAAATATATAGCTAAGTAAAAACTTGTTCAAAAAGCAAATTATTGAATAAACTTGACCTAATATTTAAGGCTTGTTTGATTACTCTCTGTATCCCTTTATGTTTTTACGATTGTACCATATGAGTATGACTCATAAAGCTCTCATATTTAATGGGTTATGGTGCAAATAAAAGGGGACAAAAGGAGTACTAAGGGCCTATTCTCATACGTTGAAGTTCAGTTCAGTTCAGTTTATTTTCAGTTGTTCAGTTTATGTCAAATGATATTGCTAATGATATAAAGCCAAATTTCATTCTTTTAAGCACTTATTACAACGACAATAATAATAATAATAATAATAATATTATTATTATTATTATTATTATTATTATTATTATTATAACGATAATTTTGTTCCAGTTTTTACTTTTTTTTTCTTTTTCTATTTTTTTTAATTGTGTTATTTTTTTACAAAGTGTTTTGTGTTCTTTTGTCATAATAATATTTTATTTTTTAATAAATAGTATATGTTTTTAAAATGTTTTGGGGTTTCATGTTTTTAATATATTTTCCATAAATATTATAATTATATAGTATATTTTTCTTAAATATTTTAGTATGTATATTTGTATATACACATATGTATAATAATAAATAATCAAAGATCACTAATCCATAGTTAAAAATCACTAATTAATAAGTTCAGTTCTGTTCAGTTTATTTTCAGTTCAGTTTTCAGTTCAGTTTTTTTTCAGTTCAGTTCAGTTCAAATCAGCTGAGTTCAGTGTATGAGAACATGTCCTAAATTAGCTTCACATGAACAATTTCGTGTTCGACATATTAGTACTCGCAAAGATCTTGTTTATTTTATATTTTGAAATTATAAAATAAAAAATTATGTTTGAAAATATACCTTACCATCAAATTATAGTATATCTTGTTTATTTATTTATTTAAGTTAGAGTCAAATTTACACATTTGTAGAAACACGACTTTGACCATCAATATTTTTAATGAGATAAGTAAAAAATATGAAAAATTATTTTATAAAAGTGGACATTATGTCAAATCTAACGAGTAACAACATATTATATGGTCATATTTATATATTATATTGGTAAAAAAAAAATCTAAGTCAATAATGATATATAAATAGTGAAAAATCTCAACTCAAAATAAAAAAATAAAAAAAATAGAGGGAGTACAATATAGCTTAACTATGCACTACTTGTGCATGCATTCTAGTTTCAACTTTCAAGTGCCTTTCGGTTTTGGGTATGTCAAGTCTGTCAAATCTTTACAGCAATATCATTTTAATAAATTCAAAAGACAATCTATTTTTATTCCCCACACGAATGTATAATTTAAATGTACAAAATCACAACAATTATTAATATTCTCAAATCCACAAGAAATAAATTTTGAAATCAAAAAAGATACGCGTAGTACTCTCTAATTTTGTCGGGAAAAGGGTATGCCAGCCACTAAAAAGAAAAATGCCATTTTCATCATATAATCCCTTACAAAAGTTACAATGCCCTAAATAAAGTTTTTATTTTATTTTTTAAAATATTTGTTATGACAAAAAATGGTAAAGTATCCCTTAATAACAAAGGTCGTCCTATGAAACCATGACTGTCTTTCCTCAAACAAAAAAAAAAAAAAAAAAAAAGACTAGTGTGTTTCATTGATCCCTTAAAAAATGTAACGCTCCTTAAAAAAAATTTAATTCAAATCTATCGTTGCTTTGAGTAGGAACGAATATAAATTAAAGGTTGTAGATTGTAATAATCCTTTACCCAATTGGATATATTTACAGTCAAGATAAGTCAACTATCCAAGCTTTGGGGTATTTCGAGGAAATATTCTTCAACAGTGAAGTTAGGGTCTATTCTCTTACGTTGAAATTTAGTTCAGCTTAATTTAATTCAGTTCAGCTCAATTCAATTCAGTTTAGCTCAATTCAATTCAGCTCAGTTCAGTTCAGTTCAGCTCAACTCCTAATTTCTTTCTCTTATAAAATATTCAGTTCAGTTCAGTTCAGTTCAGCTGAGTTCAGTCAATGAGAACATGCCCTAATTTATGTAATAAAGGTAGTACTCATATGGTTCAATAGGACTATCAAAGTGTCAAGTGAGAATTAAATAATTACTAGTCGTATAATAAATAAAGAATTTTTATTCTTCCTTCGGTCATGACTCATAAACATAATTAAGAGTGTTGTTCACATGACCTTATTTTGAGGGCTGCTGGTGGAGGGTCATAGAGTGGAGGGATGGTTTGTCCCACCATCTACCCTAAGAGTAACCTGGGTTCGATTCGCACCTCAGCCCTCCTGTGATACTTGAATTAGAGCCGGTACGACATCCGTACCCCATATAACCATGAATCCATGATACTTGAATTCCATGATACTTAAAATTTGAGGATTGTTAGTAAGGAATTAGAGCCGGTACGACATCCGTACCCCATATAACCATGAATCCATGATACTTGAATTCCAGAGATCGTTGAAGAGACACATAACTACAACAATTTTTTTTTTTTTTAAAAAGAACAATAAACTCTACAAAATAATACGGAGTATGCGAGTATTAGGATGATGATATAGTAATTTTGATTGAAATAGTAAGAACAAATAATAAAATTATTTCATTATGTGACTCTGAAAGTCTCAATTATGACTTGATTAATTCAAGAAAGGATGACAAAGGCCTGACTTCAATCGAAAATACTACGTACTACCTCCGTTTTGTTTAGTTGAGATATTTTCATTACCACGTTTGTGAACAAATATTTTTAACACTTAATATCTCTAATTATCAACATTGTAAAATTATCAAAAAGTGGATATTAATAAAATATATATCGAGACGATTCAAATAAATCCTACATTACATGACTATATTTTATTATATTTATAAATCACAAAAGCAAGTCAAAGTTAGTGTGTGAATAGTGTAAAAGTCAAACGGTGTCAACAATATCGGAGGTAATGCTTTTTTTTTATACAAAGAAAAATATATCTAGCTAATCCGTAAATCTTTAATAAAAATATGTTTTATTTACCTGATTTTATTTATTTAAACTTATTAAAACTAAAACTTATTTAGGTGTAATTTATACTTAGATGACTCTTTCGGTCTTTCCTAAACTTATTTTTCTGTAACTAAACCTAATTGAACTTATATGAATTTATTACAGCTGAAATAAATAAAACAAAAAAAAAAAAAAAAAAAAAAAACAGACGTTTAAATCGATTTACTTTTAATTTCAACAGCTTTTTATAAGCAACCCCAAACCACGTGCAAAAAAATACTAAGACTTTAAGAGTTGGGACACTTCATTGTATTGTTAGGTTTACACAATTGCGTTGGTCTCAATTTCGACAAAAAATTAAAAAAATACAATCATATGTACCATATTCTAATATTTTGTGTCTCTTTTAGAACTGCATGTATTTGTTGGAAAGTTGTTGCCAGCCAAAAATGAGCTTAAATGGGTCATGGGCTAAAGGGTCAATTGGGTCAATAGCCATGTTACAAGGACAGTTCATGATTTTTTTTTTAAAATAATAAAATATATTTTTTTATTTGTGTATAAATACATACTCTAGGTTAGTTGTTATAGTACCAAAAATATTTCTTGGTGCGTTATATTTTAGAGCTTGAGTTAGTAGTGTGAAGGTAGATTAATAATGGCCGAGTTCAAACATTTGGTGGTGGCAAAGTTTAAGGAAGGAGTTGTTGTGGAAGACATTATCAAAGGCATGAAAGATCTTGTCTCGGTTATTGACGAAGTTAAGTCCTTTGAATGGTAAGTCTTTTTCACTATAACTTGCTATTTTTAACATACATTACTTACATGAATCACTCCTTAAATAATGAGTATAGTACTTTATCGATCCCTAATTTTATTGGGTCTTTTTACCATATAGTCTTATTAACAAGACAAATGCTAACAAGCATCTCAATCTAGATCAATTGTCAAAGAGAATCATTACTTTTATAAAAAAAAAAGTATCTTATTAATGATCAAAATGACATTTTTTATGAGTCTACTTTCTAGTTTCTTTTAAAATTAATCATATTATACCATTAAGAACCACTAAGGCCAGGTTGAGGTATAGAGATCAAATTTTATGGGACTCGTGTAAGAGATTTCTCCAATATATAATAAAACCTATGTCATCTTATTAATAATACTTTTTTTTTAGTCTAATCTTATTAGTATCAATAAGTGTAATAATATTTTAGACTGGTCTAAAATAAATTGATATTAATGTGATTAAATACACATAAAATCTATTTTCCTTTACTCAAAAACTCGAAATAAATATATGGTATAGTATGAGATGGACATACTACTCCCTCAATCATGTTTAGATAGTGATTGTCTTACAAAAAAGTCACTACACATAGATGATTAACTTTCTGAGATGGATCCGAGGTTGTAGTTTTCTAAATATTATGGAATTCTCTAAATAATTACATTGGGTGGTAAATTTAATTTGGTAAATCATACCTAATGTGTAGGGGACAAGATTTGGAGAGCCATGAAATGCTTAGGCAAGGGTTTACACACTCATTCTTGATGGCATTCAACAACAAAGAAGATTACGCTACATTCTTGGCTCATCCTAAGCATGTTGAGTTTTCTGCCACATTTTCTGTAGCAATTGACAAGGTCATCTTGCTAGATTTTCCTATTGTCCTTGCCAAGCCCATCAAGCCTTCGGACACCGCCGCGGCCGAGCCATCGGCTTAATTAGGCTACACCCACTACCGTCACCACCACCGGAAGCTGAAGCTTAATTAGACATAAAGATGTCGTTCAGATCAATCCAAGTAATTAATGTGGTGTTTCAAGTGGGATTAATTAGATGTTTTTGTTTGTTTGTTATGTTTTAATCTTACATCATAGATGTGAGATTTAATTTGCATGGTATAATTACGTGCATCCCCTTTCATGTTCATCATTATAATGCAGGCATATGATAATTTATCATGTTTTTCGTACGACTTTTTACTTTTGTTTTGCCTTTTAGCTTTATCGCCTTTATGTTATGATAATCATGGCTCCCTTCTATAGGACTATAGTTCTGTATGCGTTGTTCGCCTCTTTTAGGTCTCTTTTTTTTTTTTTTTTTTAAGCTTATTTTTAATCCAATTCAGCTTCAATTAGGACATGTTATCTTCATCTTATTTTCAGTTCAGTTCAGATTCAATAAGTTCATTTCAAATTCAATAAGTTCAGTTAAGTTCAGTTCTTAGTTTCCTTCTCTCATAAAATATTCAGTTCAGTTCATTTCAATTCAGCTTCAATAAGTTCAATTTAGTTCAGCCAATCAAAACAGGCCCTTTGTCCGTCTTATGGTTTAACTGTTGGATACATGAGTACATGATGACTACTCTCGTCCTTTAAAGTTAATTGGTTATGATTTATCAAAAGTTAATTTTAGTAGTTTGCCTTAATTACAAAAAAGTTAATACTCCCTTCGTATTTTAACAAGTATTACACTTACTAAATACAGTCGATTGGCCGTATTTTAATAAATGTTGTATTTTTTTTTTAACAAAAAGCTACTTTTTAATAATTATATATTTCTCCTCTCATGGTCGGTCCCTAGCTTAGCTAAACCTAACACTGCTTTTTTTAATTATTTATTTTCAATTACATTCATTACTTTTCAATAAACAATATTTAACTCCACTATCTTTAATTTTATTTTTTTATATTCCAATTATCCCACTTACCTCTTATTTTACACATATTTTTATATGTGATCGGGGTTATTCAATTTTCTCAATCAGGGGTTACTTAAGGGGTTAGGTTAGGAGTAACTTGGTCAGGGGTTACTTGAGGGGTTACTCAAGGGGTTACATACTTGAAGGGTTCGGTCATGAGTTAATTGAGGTGATACTCGATCAGGGGTTACTTGAGGATTATTCGGTCAGGAATTACTGATCAAGTGTTAGCTGGCCATCACACGGAAAAAGCTCTGCTTATTTTTTTTAAGTCAATTAAATTACCTAAAATATGTATCGGTCAAAGTGTAACACTTAATTAAAACGTTAAAGGAGTACTTGTAGTTTCTTTCAATAATTAAAAAAAAAAAAGTTACATTGAGTAAATTGATACATTTAAGGGTAGTAAAGAAAGTACTAACTCCTTTAAGTATTAGTTGCAACTTTGGAATATTTTATATCTCACAATTAATATCCCAAAGTTGCAATTAATATATAAATTAAATTACGGTCGAAATAACGAGAAAATTGTTAGCAGTAATGAAGATTGTAGTTTCTGTACAACTTTTAATAACCCTAATAGAGCTGGAAAATGCTCAATAGTACTCCGTAACATTTAAATTAACACTTTACTTTGTGTTAATTACCTAATCAGGTCAATAAGTACAACATGTATGTAAATACAGTACAGATTATCTGTGAAATTTGCAGGTGTAAAATCATAGATTTCATGTGTGGCTGCTGTAAGGTGTGTGCCTTCCTGAACATGTCATGATAGATTAACTCACTTTCTTGACATTGTCTTAATAAAGCGTACTCATGAATGTCCTCATTGACTGATTTGACAAATTCTTGTCTGCCACTTAACCAAGATTATTGCAAATGTTGTCTATTCTTCATGTAAGCTAGCCTTCCACTGGTACAAATTGGAGGATACGAATTCAACTATTTAGTAACTAGATGAAATTTGTATTGACATAGACCCACGATGGGTCGGTCTGATTGGATTGGGTATGTTCGGGTCAAGGTTAATATTTTAATCCGCATCAATTTGGGTCGGATCAATAATTTTGGGTCAAAATCTGTTAAGTCAAGGTTGATTTTTCATGGATTAGGTCAACTTTAAATCGCTTCAAATTCTATTGAGCTACATTGATATTGGGTTTAACACGGAGTAACTAGGTTAATTTTAAATCTGATCACTTTGGATAGGGTTGATTCTGGTTTAGCCGATTTCATTTTAGTTCAGTTTGATTAGAATAAGGGCATGTTCTCATACGTTAAAATTCAGTTCAGTTTGATTAGAATAGGGGCTTGTTCTCATACGTTGAAATTCAGTTCAGTTCAGTTCAGCTCAGTTTAGTTCAGTTCAATTCAGTTCAGTTTAGCTCCTAATTTCCTTCTCTTATAAAATATTTATTTCAGTTCAGTTCAGCTCAGCTCAGTTCAGTTTAGTTCAACTGAGTTCAGTTAATGAGAACAGGCTCTAAGATTGATTCAGTATTGGATCAATAATTCCAATTCGATTCCAATTTAGATCCTTTTCAGGTTTGATTGAAATTGGATTGAATCGACTAAATTCAATTTTCAAATAAGGTCATTTTTTAATAACCTGAACATTATTTGAATTATTACCTTATTGTTTGGTCAATATCTGGTTGTTTATGTGTTATTTTCGTATCATTTCACGGATACTTATTAGTTTTTAATTAATTAGATTAGACCTTGTATTAGTTCTATTTTTAAGCTAAATTAAAATCAAATTATTGATGATTTAGTGAGACGATAACTAATGAATTAATGACTAATTGTTAGATGATAGCCACATATAGTCGGGTTATGTTTAAATAATATAAGAAATTAAAGAAAGAAAGTTCTTAACGAATAATGAAACAAACATTTACACGAATCGAAGTACTTATGTTAAAGTAAAAAAAAAAAAAATTAATTTGAAATCATGTCAGATTAACATCAGGTCAAGTTAATATTAGATCTGCTTAAGACATATCAGATTAAATAGCTATTTTTCAGGTCAATTTCAAGTCGGACTGAGTTCCAATCGAGTCAACTTTGTGTCAGGTTTTGAGTTCAAGTAGAGTTAGGCATGGGTCGGGCTGGCCTACAGGCGGCACGGGCTCAACACGAGAATGGCACGGCACAAGCACGATAACCGAGTAGTGGTCCGTGGGTCGTGTCGTGAACACAATTTTGAAAATTCGGCACAGCACGAACGCGTGGGCGGCACAGTACTTTGGCCCACAGCTCGGCCAACCAGCACGGTACTTGGCATGGCCAGGCACGACCCAGCACGACATGTGATACGCCAAGCACAACACAGCTCGTGTAAAACGGCTACTCATTTTCCGCTTTAAATAAATTAATTATAAAAATAACATAAATAATAAAGAACTATAATAATAAAAATAAGAATGTTAAAAATAACAACAACAATAATATAATAATAAAATAACATAAACATAAATTAATAAAATTATTGAGAGTGAGGGATAGCTTAAGAAGTTAGAGTTTCCCTCCCGATTTCAAGAGATATTGGGATCGATTTTCACCCCGCGTAGCTCTTTAAACACAAACTAATTAAACTATTTAAATAGTATGCCCATTTTAAAAGTTATTCAAATATATATATACATGGGCGGCACGGTGACCGGCCCGACATCGAACGCCAAACACGTGGGCTGTGTCGTGGGCTGGGGTGTGTCAACTGGTGGTCCGACAGCCGGCACAGAACGACCCGCTAAAATGTAGGCACGGCCTGCGGTGACCTGGCACTGCACGATGCCCACCTTTAAGTTCAGGTTTGGTCAAATCAGTGTTGAGTTGAGTTCAAGTCAGTTACATAATTGGATTTGGATACTAAATTTCTTTGGTCAAATAAGGTCTATTACAGCTCGAAACAAATGACCTTTTGTATGGGTCAGGTCAGTATGACATCTCAAAATACAATCAACAGAAAAAAAAAAAAATCGTTTAACGGTCTTAAATTGAGGGAATGATAATGGATATGTATGTGATTTTGCAAGAATTTCAGTGTCCTAGTTTGTGTTATTAATGAAAATAATTTTTTTTAATGTATTAAATGACATATTCATTTTCTCAAAAAAAATGACATATTCATATGCACTATTAATAAATTACAAATAAAAAAATATTATTAAAAAAAATGTCATAATCTTTCTATAGACATAAATATTGATATATTTTCATAAAATACATTTGTAGTTTTTTTTTTTTTTTTTGGTTGTAAATTTCATACTTTCTCCTTTATTTTATTTTATTTTATTTTATGTGCCCTATTGTGACTATGTATAAAATATAATAATTGAATTTAATAATAAATTCATTGAAAGTGTTGAGACGATTTCAATAAGTTCAACTTATATTTTTTTAATATAAGTACAAAATTTATAAACGCTAGTCAAAATAGATCAAATTAAAATGCAAAAAGTCTCAATAAGAACTTAAAAAAATGGAGGAAGTATATGATAAGGTCAATCTTGTCTAACAAAATCTTTTTATTTATTTGAGTTTTTAGTAGAAGTAAAATTTTGGAGTACCACACAGGTTTTAGGACAATGTTGTTGGGTCCCAATCAACTCTACGTCAATATTACCTTCGTTTCTTTTTATTAAACACGTATTTCTTTTTAGGAAGTTTTTTTTTAGTTGACACGTTTCTTTTTTGGGGTAAATAGTTGACACGTTTCCTTTTTGAAATAAATTTTTTACCTTGCATTTACCAGCTATCCCATTTGGTTTTTCGTTATCTCTCACTCTCTCCTCTCCTTAATATATGTGTCTAAATCAAACGCGTCAACTAAATAGAAACGGAGGAAGTATTATATACTACCTTCGTTTCTTATTATGTGCAACAAAAGAATATTTTATATCTCACAAATAATATCTATTTGTTGCACATAATAATAAGAAACGGAAAAAGTTTTTCACTTTGGGCTTATTCAGTATGGATTTGTTTTTGACCACCCTTTCAATAGGCCTCATATAAATGGAGTAAATAAACACTTATAAGCAAGTCATCACTTCCATTATTCTTTCAATTCCATATGATACTTGAGTTGCATACCCCAACAATCCTCCATTCAAACCAAGGACTACATAACATTTTATGTGAGAGTTTAAACCCGACATACCTATACTTAATCAGAAGGCTAGGTTAGGTTTCATCTTTAGGATTTTTTTTTTTTTTTTTTGGGGGGGGGGGGGTGAGGAAGGGTCAGTTCTTGGTAGTTAAGTTCTAGTCATCTTCTAATTTTTATTTTGAGGGATCAAACACGAGGTCTTTCCTATCAAGTGAGCTCCAAATCTCCAATCATCACTACACCACCGACCAATGCTCAAAAGGTTAGGTTTCATATTTTTTATTACAAAAACTTTTGTATACATCCGGTTTACACTAATATTAGTGTACATCGAGCAGTATAAGGGTAATTTTTAGCTAATTTTAGGGTAACTTTTTGCCTGTTTTTGGGTAACTTTAAACATTATACAATTTTTATATAAATAGACAACAAAAAAAGTTTTATAAAGGTAATTTAATTACATTCAATCACTAATAATTGATTTTTAGTCATTTAAAATGTGATTCTTTATTAATAAAGTGTAGATAATTTTTATTTGAATTGGGTTACTTTTATGCATATTGGGGTAACTTTTATTCATTTCATAGGTAACTTTTAATTACTTTTAGCTATCTTTGTAACAGATTTTTTTTAAAAGTTTGTGTTTTTATTATTGTATAGGTACAACAACTACCTTTCAAATGCCAAAAGGGATTCAGACTTTATAAGGGAGCATTTAGGTTACAATTAGGCCCTAAGATGGAACAACCTTTATATTATACGGAGTACTTTGTAATAAAGACATGATCCTTTTTATGAGACAACATTCAAGCTACATTTTGGACTGGGAACTAGCCCATTTGAGATAATAGGGCCCAATTCACTTGACAACAGTTGGTCCAGGTGAAAATGAAGCTCTCTCTCTCTCTCTCTCTTTTTTTTTTCTTTTTTTATTATTATTATTATTATTATTATTATTATTATTATTATTATTATTATTATTTTTAGTTATCAGCATTTACCTAGCTCAACAAAGGTTACAATCTTACAAAGCTTAGTATTAGCTTCTATAATTGGTCAAGAAATTTCAATCTTGTGAGAAGATGTTTCTAAGTTTTTCTATATTTTACTTTATAAAAAATAAAAAACAAAATAAACAAAACAAAATTGGTCATGAGATTTTTCATGATAGACTGTGATATCATAACAAGCAGACATTAATCAGTTGATAACTACTTAGGGCATGTTCATATTTACTAAACTGAGCTGAACTAAACTGAACTGAACTGAACTAAACTAAATATTTTATTAGAGATGGAAATTATGAGCTAAAATAAAGTGAACTGAACTGAAATAATTGGAGCTAAACTGAACTGATTGAAGCTGAACTGAAATGAAATTAAGTAATTGTGAACAGACCCTTAGTAGGTTTTCAGAAAGACAATGCATTGTAACAAACTACCAAACTCTAGCATCTTTTTTTCTTTTCTGTGTGTAAACATACAATATAAATATTGGTGTAATTATGGCAAAAGATTTGTAATAAGAGTTTTTCTCTTTATTTCTCAAAGATGAAGTGAGTTTACTTCTCAAACAATAATATTGATGCTAGATCGCTTGCTAGAATGTATTCTACGTGATTCTTTTAGGGGGCGTTTGGTTCACAGAGTGGTATAGGTTTGGAATCAGGAATATGATTAAGGTGGTATCGGGTTGGAACTTGATACTTAATACCACGTGTTTGGTTCAATTCTGAAATGAAATATCATCCCCTTAATTTCATATATTTGATACCTAAAGGAATGGAATGAGCCAAACCCACCCACCCCCCCTCCCCCCCCCAAGGTTTCTAAACCCCATGCCATATGGGCTTGAGGTATGGGTTTATAAATCATATTTTTGACAAACAAACATATGACATGGGTTTTGGTTATTCTAAACTCATACCTAATACCTATAATACGCGAACCAAACGCCCCCTTAGGCTTTTAGTAGCTAGTTCTCAGTTTTGGCTTGATCTAATGGAGATCCTCCTTGAAAGTAATTTTCAACGTAATTATATTGAACGTTTCAATCACTTTAATAGTTTTATGTAATGATTACCACAACGGTATAATAATATATCTTTTATAAAGATTGTTCCATTTTATATATTTTAGATTGTATACAAATATTTAACCTATTGGTAAATAATAAACAAGTCAGATTGACGACTATTAACTCTTTCCTCCGAACTTGTCAATGATTGACGCTTTCTCTAATTGCAACAATAATAATTGTATGTTTATCTACTACCTTATCATCTTTCTTTCTTTTTTTTTGTTTTCTTTTTTGGGTAGTCCACAATTAGCTAGCTAGCCTCAAAATTTTTCTTCCACTACAATTTAATGACACCACATTTAAATCATTACTATAAGTAACAACTTTATTTTTTAAAAAGGAATTGAATCCAAAGCATATATATATATATATATATATATACACATCACATTATTGGATTAAAAGTAACAAATCATGGTACGTACGTAGAGTCGAAAGCAAAGCAGCAATTCTGATATCACATGACATTAAATTTGAATATGATGCTGCTAGCTAGCTTGTCAGTTAGGGCATCCATCCATGGTGGACCTCAGTAACAACACCATTAAATTCAAAGAAAACTAGATCATATACACTATATATGCTTATAGTCAATCATCAAATTTCATCAAATCATTCAAATGGTTGAAGTTATTTCATCTATTACAATCATTGCTCAAGACAGATATAAAAAAAGATCATATTGAAATAAATTTGACAAAGCCGGAAGTTTTTAAACGCAATCGGTTGCACCTAGCTAGCTACTGTTAGGTGCATCAAAAGGTATTTGTTTGCTCCTTGTTTTTTAATCTTCAAATGATTAAAAAAAAATACTTTTTTACACCCAGATACATGTAAGAATATGAACACTTGATTAAATTAATATAGAGTATTCGTAGCATGCAAGAGAAATATATAAAGATTGAATATATCATAAATGTTGGCTATGTAGCATGCATGCAAATAATTCGAACAATATTTAATTAGTCTAAATATCACCTATTTTTACCACCTTAGTTTCTTATTATTTGTAATAAAAGTTTTTTTTTATCTCACAAATAATACATCTTTATTGCATATTATAAGAAATGAAGGTAGTATATAACTATGATCGCATCTCTTATGAATATGATTGACTCTTCAACTCAAACATAATCTTCCTTTACATGTAACATGTATATTGGTCTTATTAGGCGTTCTCCTAAAATCAATAATTGATAATAATGTTTGATTGTTATATATATATATATATATATATATATATATATATATATATATATATATATATATATATATATATATATATATATATATAGTGTGGATCACGTGAAAACAATCCTATGGCTGAAAACTGAAAACGGGCAATTAAGACCATTAGATTGCAATCTACACTAACTCAGCAAATCTAACAGTTGAGATTTTCTCCTCTATTTTCATGCTAAATACAGAGTATCTATACTTTCTCTCTCTCCTCCTTCATTTTCCACGTTCTATTCTCTTTCCTCATACTTTCTCTCTCTTACTTTCTCAATTCTTGTGCAAAATCCATACTCACTTTCAATTACTTCGATTCTTCATCAATTTCTCAGCTCTACATCTATTATCATGTGAGTAATTCAGTTAAATTTTATTTTATTTGATTAATGTCGCTAGTTTTCTTGATTTGAGGTACTTAATTTAGCTTTATGAATTTAGTATTCCGAGTTTCATGCGTATTTTTTTGTAGATTGAACTTGAAATTTTAGCTCCAAATCGGTGTGTTTTGAGTAATTTTGTTTTTGAGTTTTTCGTTTTCGATTTGAGTAATTTTTTTTTACTTTTTTTTTATTTTTGTATTTTCTTCATAATTGTTGTTTTTTGAGGTTTTTTTTTCATAATTTCGTTATACCATTGTTTCTGAGTAATTTTTCAAGTTTTTGGTTTATGATTTGTATATTTTTTTAGTTTTTTGTTTCTGATTTTTTTTTAATTTTGTAATTTGCCTTTTTTTTTTAATTATCAACTTGATTTGAATTTTTGAGTATCAACTACATTTTCATTTTCATTTTCATAGTTGTAGGTTTGAATGGTATTTTGTTTAACTCTGATTGATTTTAGTTAATTAGGTTTCTATGAGTAATTTTTGCACTTAACTCTGTTGTCATTGTTTAATTTTGTAATTTTTGCATATAATCTGTATGCATATTAGTGGAATTTAATCGTCACGTGATTGAAATGTTGGTTGTTGGAGGTCGAATTGGTGATGTTGGAGTCGGGCTTTGGTGGCAAATTGGTGGAGCAATTGGTGGTTGTTGTGTGGGTGTGAGATGCGACTATAACTGATTTACAATTTGAAAGCCCGACTTTGGTTGTTGGAATACAAGTCTCAGCTTTTGTCTCGTTGAAATGTAAATGAAACATCCAAAGTTGTTTCAATCACGTGGTTGTTATCAAAAGAACATCATGTGGTTGTTTATTTTGCCATTTATGCATCATATTTGGTTTCTTGGTTTTGCAATTAGAATTTTTATATTCTTTTCCTATTAATTGCCACAATTGATGGTGTTTGCTTAGGCAGTTGCTCGTGGTGTGGTTCGGGAGTTACTGCAGCTCGGATTGGTGTTTGGTCAGTGGTGCAGCGGTCGAGATTTGGTACGTACGTTGGCGAGCTAATGGTTGCAGCTAGTTGTGCAATTGAGGTGGAGCTACTTGAGTGATAGCCTGATAGGCTTACATATAGTTTGGCATGTGGTGATATAGTGACCTTTGGGTAAATGGTTGTAACCTTGTTTCTATATATAGTGACCTTTGTGGCTTTGTGTGAATATCGTCAAAATTGTTATACTTTAATATAGGGCTTGTTTGGTTGCCTTTAGTTTTCATGGGCACTCAAAATTCCCATGAATTTCCTTTTAGGTATGTTGTTTGGTTGATATGAAAAAACAAAAATGGGGGAAGTCACAATTCATGGGAATTTTCACTTCCCACAAAACATGGGAAGTTACTTACCCACCCCTCCCTTGGTCATTCACAATTCCCATGATTTATAAATTCCCACATGACAACCAAACATATTTATGTAATTCCTAGGAATTTTAATAAAGGAAGTAATTTCCCATGAATTAGAGTTTCCCATGGGAATTTACTTCCTACATCAACCAAACAAGCCCATAGTTAGCTTTTTTTTTTTGTATATAGTGACCTCTGGGTAAATGGTGTCAAATTGATATAAATATCCCAAGTTTATATATAGCTACCTTATTTTTGTATATAATGTCCTTAGCATCATGGATACGTTGTAAAATTTGTTTCAGTCAGCCTATTTTTGTATATAGCAATTTTTATGTAAATGTTGTTAGAATTGATATAGTTACCTAATTTTTATATACAGTGACCTTTATGTAAATGGAGTAAAAAACTCAAAGTCGAAATAATTACCTTATTTCTGTACATAGTGACCTTTATGTAATTGGAGTCAACAACTCAAAGTTGATATAGTTATCTTATTTTTGTACATAGTGACCTTTATGTAAAAATGTTGTCAAATTTGATATAATTACCTTATTTTTGTATATAATGACCTTTGTGTAAATATCGTGAAAATTGATATAGTTACGTTATTTTTATATATAGTGACTTTATTTTTATGTATAGTGACCTTATGTAAATGTAGCAAATTTAGATAAAGTTACCTAATTTTAGTATGTAGTGACCTTAAAACGATTAACTTGATTATATGTAAGGTTGGAAAGATCTTAGGGATTTTAAACCGTCTGATCTTTTGTGATAATATTGAATGGTTGAGATTTGTTGTTTTCAGCTTAAGCCTTGTTTTTAGCATAATCCTTGTTTTCAGCGGAACCACCCCGTATATATATATATATATATATATATATATATATATATATATATATTATCTTTAAGGGCCTGTTCACATTTACTGAACTGAGCTGAACTGAACAGAACTGATTGGAGCTGAACTGAACTGAACTGAATTGAGCTGAAATGAATATTTTATGAGAGAGGAAAATTAAGAGTTGAACTGAATTGAATTGAACTGAACTGAACTGATTGGAGCTGAACTGAACTGATTAGAGCTGAACTGAACTGAATTGAACTGAAATTAAGTAAATGTGAACAGACCCTAAGTCGATACTATTATTATTACAAATTGGATCTATGGTTTTCCAACCAAAATAAATACTCCTTTCAATTAATTAATAATATCAGAAGATTGTTGATTTGTTGATGAGCAAATTAAAGTTAAGAATTCATGCAAAATTTTGTTTTTTTCTCTTTTTTTTACAGAGTAATCTTTAGAATCTTTTCTGACGAACCACGCGCTACAAATTAATAAGTCACTGTGAGCTGCAAGAAGTTTAAGCAAACAGTTTGATGATTTAATCGTATCCACATTCATATACACAAAGTTTTCATACGTAATTGGACACAATATGTGATCAAAGTTACTTAATCAGGGGTTATTTAGTCAAAAATTACTTGATCGGTAAGGAATTATTCGGTCCGTACGTATCAGAATACTATCAGTCAATTACACGATGTAACCAGCAACACAAAAAATACACTGCCACATACGGAGTACTCTGTATTTATTATTCCGACTGCACAAATATTTCATTAAATTTGGATTCATAAAGTTTTATTTGCAGATTATATAAATCCCCTAACGTTCAAGGTACGTAATCAACTGCACGTACGTACGTTATAAATAAACAACATCATTCGATGAAATTCTGCCTAATTGACTCCAACTTTTCTTCTGTTTTTCTCCGATCCATCAATTCTGTGAGTAGTGAGAGCTTTAATAGTTTCCAATATTTCATTCAATACAACTAGTTTTGGCCCTATACAATATCTTTGTGGGTTGAAAGTGAGGGATAGCTCAAGTGGTTAGAGCTTTCCTTCCGGTTCCAGGAGATCTTGAGATCGATTCTCACCTCGCCCATGTGGCTTTCTAAAACACCAAAAAAAAAAAATCTTCTTAGGTTTTATTTTAATGGTAAGATGTAGAATCCTATTTAGATGCAATTCATCTACATATATATTTCATAAATTCTTATATGTGGCTAGCAACATAATGTGATCACTTCACATAATCAAACATAAGACAATGAATTAAGTTATAGGGGATTACGGTGATGAGCAAATGGAATTACCTTAATGTATGTAAGTTACTTAAATGATAAAAAGGAGTTACTCTCTTAAATAGTGGAATTATTCTTTCATTTTTTTTAAAACAAAAGAAAATGGATTACTTAGCTTGGATGAACAAATGGAGTTACTTATTTCTAAATTACTTGATTTTACTCGTATAATGAATTTGGGTTACTTTTATAGACAACATGAAGAGCTACTCTTATGAAAAAATGAGTTTACTCATATATATAAATGAATATTACTCTTATAAATCAATGGGGTCACACCATATGACTAGCCACATATAAGACTTACCCTATATCCAATAATAATATAGCCTTTTATAAGTTATCGAATCGCCAACCTATATATGTAATGATAATATAGATCACTGTCTTACATAATACTCCCTCTGTCCCTTATTGATACTTTGATAGTCTCTTATGACCAATTTAAAGTCCCAAAATGATAGTATTATTCGCTTTTTTCAAGTACCATTAGTATTATTATTTTTTTTATCAATATTCTCTCAATTTGCAACAATATTAGTGCAAATTTAACCTTTTTATATAAATTTTGCTTTTCTAAGTACTTTTATTACTTTTTCTCTCTACTTTTTTGCATATCCAATGTAAATTTACCTTTCCAATGTATTATACTACATACTTATAAGTTTATTAATTCCCATGAAAATTGTCTATAAGGGACTATCAATAAAGGGCGGAGGGAGTAAATTACAAAAAGAAATATAACAAAATTAATGTGTATAACCAATTAAACCACATACTTCCTATAATATTATTAGGCAAAAACTAATGAGCGTCCTCGGGGCGTTAGATAAGAGAATTAAAGTGCAAATATTAGAGTAAAATTAACATTAATTACACCGAACGACGTGTGATTTTGTCATGAATTCCTAACTTTATACCATTTCAACCAATATAATTTATCCTTAACTAACGCCCCGGGGCGCTCGTTAGCAAGATCGATATTATTAAACTATATTACGCTTACTACTTCACTTAATACTTCCTCCGTTTCTTATTAGTTGACACGTTTCTTTAGTCACGTTTGTCAAAGCGCAAATCTTAACGTTAATATCTATGGTTACCAATAAGCAAAAATTATAAAAAGCTGATATAAATCACAAAATATGATCAAGGGGGAGTGTGTGAATAGTGCTAAAGTCAAAACGTGTCAACTAAAAAAACGGAGGTGGTATTCCTTAAAAATTATTTCATTTCAATAAAATAAGTTTTTATTTACAAACATTAGTAACTTCAAAGAGAAAATATAACAGAAAATCAATCAAAAAATATCGTTTGATTAAAATAATTTGATTCACCCCAAAAAAAAAAAAAGAATTAGGATTATTATTATGATTAAAACTCTTAACTAGAAAGAAAAAAAAAATTATGATCATTTGAAGTTGACCCTTGTGTGACCTTATCTTTTTTCTACTTCTCTCTATGCCTCCTCCTCTCCCTGTAAATCCTTGTTCCTTCTTCTTATGATGATAGAAAAAATGAGATAAGAGCAAGTTTAGCCCCAAGTCTTAAGAGTTGGATGTGACATCATTTTTGGTGGTCCTCATTGAAAATGATGATATCAAATTCTTATCAAGACTCTCTAAGACTTGTACAAATTTATCACTTTAGCCTTAAGACTCAAATATATGACATATTGTATATTTGTATGTAGAAAAGTGTTATAAAAAAATAATAATAAAAATAAAAGTGAGGTGGGTCCCAATCTCAAGTGTTAAATTGAGTCTTGAAACATACTTGCTTGAGATTTAAGAAGAAAAATGAAAAAACTCTTAAGCATAAGTCTTTAGACTCATTATGATGATGTCACTCCAAGTCTTAAGACTTGGGATTAAACTTGCTCAAATAGGTGAGAAATAAAAGAGTTTGATGAGATGATAGCAAGATGATAGTAAGCTTCATGGATTAGTTTGCACCTTTGATCCCCTTTCTCTTTGCATTGATATGGAGGAGAAATATTCTTCATTTCACACAATAAGATAGAATAATCCAACTCCTAAAATGCATTTACTATCTCTTAAATTACAAGATTATCTATCCTAAATGAGACTAATTTAATAAGTACAGAACTCACTTAATTATTGACCTCTAATCTAGCATGGTCTCATTATTTGGGACTCCTTTCTTTAGTTGCGGGCCTCTAGTCCACCTTTTTATTCATTTGAGACCATTAACTATACAATCTTGATCCAATCTTTATGAGTTGGTTATATTGTCATTACCAAACTTCGAGATAAAGGGCAAGCCAAAAGTAGTCATCTACACTTTTGGGGAAACATCAACATTTTTGTTGATGTGATTCTCTTAATTAGATTTTTAGGGTTGTTGTTCTCTTAATTATTTTCATATTAGTGTCATTTTCTCAATTTTGTCGGCCTTTATTTTGTAGCTGAGAAAATGGGTATTCCAATTCAATATGAGCTAATTTATTTTACAAACATTTCAATCTTAACGAAGTTAATTTATGGATTTAAAATTGTGCTCGAGAATATGATTAAAGGTTTTTTTTTTTTAATTTATTTTTTTAGAGCATAAAGGCGGTGGTGAGAATTGATCTTAAGATCTCTTGCAATCGGGAGGAAAGCTCTAACCACTTGAGCTGTTCCTCACTCTCAGAATAT